CCCCAACATCCCCAAGTGAGCCTCGCCCATGGGTATGGGCCCTGGCAGCACCAGGAGGGTGCACTGTATCCAGATCTCCCCTTGGAACATCCCCCTCCATCCACAGCCACCTTCCCACCCCTCTGCAAGGACAGGGCACTACAGTGAGTGTATTGCTCTCCAATTCTTCTCATAGAGCCACATCGTGCCCCTCAACTCTGGACTCTGTAGCTCCTCCACTTCTGAGCCAGCTCCATTTCTCCCTGGAGTCTGAGATGTGTCCACAAGTGACACCTGTGAGGGCATGGAGAAGTCTTTGTTCCTCTCTCATTTTGCATTGGCTGCTCTTCAGTCACTTTGAACCCTGCCTGAGCTAGGCTGCTGGGACATGATGATGTATAGTGTCACTGGTACTGCAGTCTATCCAGGACATTTCCATAGGTATACTGAGACCCAGAGAGCTGCCCAGCAAAGACCAGGAGAAATAGTGGCTCACAAACCCAAGCAACCTCTGTGCACATTATCCTCTTGACATTTTACCTACAAATGGTTCTACACCAATGAACCAATGAATGGAATAGAAGCCCCCAATCCACAACTCACCAGCAAACATGCTGGACTCAGATATGCACCAGCAATGAGATTTCATCATTTGTTCTACCAAAATGCCAGGGTTTGCTTGTGCTACAGGATTGTCAATCAGATCCTGACTGATACACAAGACAATAGCTCACAGGCTTCCCTCCTGAGCAGATGGGAGGCAGTATTTTAATTGAATCATATAAATGCCCAGTAGTCTAAAGACCTTGTCAAAGAAGTACTCTCCTGTCTTCTGGAAGCCCATGCGCAGGTAGAGGGTCAGAGCAGCCTCCTGTACAGTGGTAGTATCAAGGACAACCTCACTATAGCCCTGAGCCCTCGCAAACTGGAGGACAGTCATGACCAGGGCTTTCCCTAGTCCTTCACCTCGGTGCTCCAAGGCCACAGAGAGGTGAAACAGCTGCAGTTGCTTCCTCCCTGGGGGGGCGTCCTTCACTTGCAGAGCACCCACTATGCCTGCCACGTGCCCCCCAGACTCAGCCACCCAAAAGCAGGAACCACGGTCCCTCAGGTAGGATTTGGTGATGTCAGCAAGGTCTGTCTGCAAACACATGACCACATACTGCCTCCAAGGATGTCTGGCCAGCAGCCAAAGAAAAACAAGGAGGGTGACATTAGATCCAAGAGCCAGGAGCCAAGAGCCAGAGACCAGGAGTAGGGCGATGGGCACCCCAAGTAAGACCAGGAATGTTTGTGGCATCTTCAACACAAGGCGGATTGTGGCGGGGACATGCTCGAACATCCCTTGGGAGAACAAGTCCAGGACCCTCTTGCGGTCAGTCTCCTGGTATTTGCGGATGTGATGAGGTGCCATTGGGAGACTATGTGTCCGCAGTTTTCCCAAGTGACAGGTAAACCTTCATACAAGCCTTCCCTACAGTTCTGGAAGAGAGCAAAATATCAGGTGAGTGTCCCTGATATCCCCAGAACAAGGAGGCAGCTCAAGTGTGTATCAATTTTTATAATTAAATTTAGCAATTCCAATTAGGTATATATGACATCAGAAAGCATTTTGATTCATTGTACACAAATGTAGCACAATTTTTTTATTCTTCTGGTAGTACGTGATGTAGCTTCGCATCATATGTGCAGTCATACATGTCCCTAGGGTCATGATGTCCTTCACATTCCACTTTCTTTCTTGCCCCCATACCACCTTTCCATCCTCATCCCTTTTTGCCCTATCAGATTGCCTCCATTCTTCCCATCATCCCCATTATGGAACAACATTCACTTATCATGAAGAACATTTAGGGTTTGGTGTTGAGGGATTGGCTTACTTTGCTTAGCATGATATTCTCCAACTCCATCTATTTACATGCAAAGGCCATAATTTCATTCTCTTTTAATGCTGCGTAGTATTCCATCATGTATATCCACCACAGTTTCTTTATCCATTGATCTATTGAAGGGCAAATAGGTTGGATCCACAGTTTAGCTAATGTGAATAGAGCTGCTATAAACATTGATGTGGCTGAGTCTGTATAGTAGGCTGATTTTAAGTCCTTTGGGTATAAGTCCAGGACTGGGATACTTGGGTCAAATGGTAGTTCAATTCCAGGTTTTCTAAGGAATTTCCATACTGCTTTTAAGTATGGAAATTCCTTAGAAAACCTGGAATTGAACTATCAAATTGGTTCCACCAATTTGCAGTCCCTCCAGGATTGTATGACTGTCTCTTTTCCTTGACATCCTCACCAGCTCAATTTTTTGTTTGTGTGTCTTTACTGTGGCCAAAAAAGCAACAGGCCATCAGAACTGGGAACAGGTGTAGGATCAGACACACTTGACTAGAACCCCGATTTCCCCCATTTCTAACTGTGTGTCTTGGGTATGTCACATAACTGCTCTTAGTCTGTGTCTTCACCTACATTTTAGGGTTTAATAACATTGCCATTCTAGGGTTGTTTTGAATGTTAACAGCCTGGTGAATATAATGTACCGATATATACAGTTCCTTCCTCTTCAGCCTATTTCCCTTTTAGGGCTCTTTAAACTGATTGGTAAATGCAGATGACACCCTTTAACAATCATGATTATGTTCCCAGGCCTTTGGGCCCTACCAAAGTTCTAAATCTTGCAGGATTTCTGTTTACAAAGCAGAAATTTCCGTGAAGCCTCCTTTTCCAATGCTAAGGATTAGGCTGCTAAGAAGAAAAAGGGCCAAGTGAAACTTTCAGACCCTTAAAAAGTTGTGAGACTCCATTGCCACACTGAGACCCCCAACCTTACACCCCAGTTCACTCACCTGCTTCTCCAGAGCCAAGAGTGTCAAGGGCAGCCTCAGCCTCCAATGGACATCCAGGAGAGACTGTTTGAGACCTGCCCACCTGTGGGTAGCACATATGGATTGTTATTTATTAGCAGAGTCATGAAAGTTGCACAATGAGAAATCCCCAAGGGCAAAGTACTGAGGTGTAACATGGAGCCGAAGTCCATTCACTTTTCTGAAGACTGACTAACAAACCTGTGGAGTCAGCAGGATCTCTACCAGAACAGGCTCCTCACCTTAGGAGGCCTGGCACCCCTCTCCTGTTCCCTTCAGGCTACAGCATCTCAAACCCAGCACATCTGGACCTCTCTGAGGTCCACCCAGGTCCTATTCCACACCTGCTAGGAGTCTGGGGACTGTGCCATTCAGCCTGGGCTCTCTCATCACAGGCAATAGCTCAAGTCTCTGGATCACTCAGCAACAAGGTACTTTAGAGCTGGGCTTCTCCCTCCTCAGCTTTACTGGGCCAGGTAAACTCCATCCTCCCTGGCCCCTCCTCTCTTCTCTTCATTCACTCAGCAAAGCTTTTTCTGCAGCTTCTGCTCTGTACCTGTGCCTTTCCAGTAGTCAACAGTGCTTCACATCCAGGTGTCAGACTCCCAGCTAGGGGGATGCTGGGTGCTCTGGTGGTTGCTCGGGGTTGGAGCCAGCAGACTCCCTGCATATTTCAGCTGTGATGTGCCAAACTAAGACAGATAGGTGCAAGTCAGAAAAAACAAAATCCTTATCCATGGACCATTATGAACTCTTTGGAAGAGATTTTCCTTCTAAAAGATGTGGAGCTCCACTGCCCAGGAGCTCAATCTCTGTCATGTGACTTTACCTTGCAGACCAGCCATGTCCCTGGCTTTCTTCCTCTCTCACTGATTTCTCAGCAGTGATACACTAGAAGCGAGCATTGGCTAGAAGTATTTGACTCATTTTATTCATATATATATATGAATCAAACCCAGTGCCTCACACATGCTAGGCCAGTGTGCTATCACTGGGCCACAGGCCCGGCCTCTATTTCACTCATTTTTATTTTGGGTCCAGGACTAATGGATATTCAGGATGAGCATGGATGTGGCTGAGGAGGGGTCTTAGATTCCAGGAGTTCTCCAGGAGCATTAGGTGTCTGGGAGATGGCTAGATGCCCTCAGAGGGGTGAAAATGGCTAGGAGGAGGAGGCAGACTCTTGGACTGCTGGGAGACAGGATTTCATACCAGGCACACACTTGGTCAGAGACCCAAAGAGATGTTGGCCTCCCCAGGGAGAAAAAGAAGCATCTCAAGCTGAATTGACAGAGGCTTGTCAACACTAACACAAAACCAAGGCACAGCTTTAGGACAAAGAAGACATGATTGCCCAGGGAGGGAGTGGCTGAGGGCAGCATGGGCTTAGCCATGCAGGGTCCACAGCCTTGTTATGTGCATGGATAGTACTGCAGGAGGAAGGGAGACCAGAGATAGGATTGTAGCTTGGGAATGAGATGATCCATGTGAGTGTGTGTGTGTGTGTGTATGTGTGTGAGACAGAGAGAGTGGGAGGAGGGAGGGAGGGAGGGAGGGAGGGAGAGAGAGAGAGAGAGAGAGAGAGAGAGAGAGAGAAATGGTAGCGGAGACTCCCAGATCAAATGCTGACTCTGAGCTAAAGAGGGTCTCCCAGATAGAGGTGTGCAGGTTGCTCACAAGAGCACCTGGCCAAGGAGGGCTCAC